TATAATAGGTATGGCACAGAGTAATCTAGTCATAGTCGCTGATACTTTAGTATCCGACTAACGGTCGTCCGGCATCGACTGACTGAACAACTCACTGAGCGACTCAGCGACTGACTTGTTACTCTTAATACTGCTACTTATCATAGGTGGGAGAGTCTATTAACTATAGAATAGGTGTGTTCCACTATAAAAAATGGAGAGTAATCTAACAACTTCCTGATGCTTACTCTCCTGATTCGGCTTCATCTGAATACTATCTGTATTTCAACATAAAAAAAACAACACTTGACTGTGAAACAGAATCGCGGTGATGACGAAGGCATATCTGCGGCTGTTGAATTTTTTACTAATAGGATGAAAGATTCTTCATCAAATGGTTCCAAGCACTGCAGCACCGATAGAAGAAATGTGTGTACCGCATGGGGGACTATGTTGAAACATACCTCATTTGGTCGCATTTAATGACAGTATCTTCGTCAGCCTGGGATACTTTTCACGCCATATAGAAATAGGAAACATGACAGCCTGAAATGATTCCAAATCCAAATCAAAAGCCGCTCCTCTTTAGGGGTCTAGACATACTCACTACGCTTGGCTAATTGATATTTTGTGTGGATATTTTACTCATAGTTGGAGGTTGTATATTAAGAGATGTCCTTCTCTAATTGGTTTTCAACCAAGCCGATATGACCAAATGTGTTCTGCAATTAACCATAGCTTTCTTTTTAGCATGCATATCTTTCCAAGTTAAATTAGCACGTAAGTGAATGTAACGAAACCCGACATGAATTCGAACTCGACACTACGATTCCTTAATGTGAGCCGCTATCCAGTACTCGGCCGTGTCTTCCAAAATATCATTTCCGTCGTACAAATTAGCAAAATCTGTGAAATTTTCATCGGTCATGCTTTACATGTTTTAACGAAATAGCTATCATAAACAATTATTTAAACGTATACAATTTGTCCACACGCCTTTAAAAAAAAAAGAGAGTATATCATTTCTCATCCTCTCAACCGTTTCGGCTGTTGTAGGCTCCGGCCTTCTCCGGGTGACTGGAATTTCGAACTGAAGCCTTTATTTCGTCCACGGGGGGGGGAGAGATTGTTCTTGTTTCCCGTGCCATGCCTCTTCCGGATGTCTCAGTTATTTCCCTTTAACTCAATTCTCCAAAATTTCATATACACATGTCCTCAACGCTCAGTGAATAAAGATGTTGGTTAGACCCAGTGACTAGACCCGAAGAGTTGTGAGTTCAATACCAGGCCACAGCAGTGGGGATGCGAAAACTTGGAGAGTTGAGTTAAATAACCGACACATCCAGAAGAGGCATGGCGCTCGGAACTAGAACAATATATCCCGGTGGACGAGCTAAAGGGTTCGGTTCGAAATTCAAATCACCTGAGGAAAGCCGGAGCGGACAACGGCCGAAACTTTGTGAATATGGCAATGAAGAGGAGGCTAACAATCCAAATGTAAATCATGCAAGTAATGGTCATTAATACATGCTTGGTCGTCATACATCTGTATTGAAACTCTTGTATGTATATATATATGTTCCTGAGATACAGTATAAACGATACATAATCCCCCAGCAAATTTAGGAGTGTATTGTACCTTGAACGCCTGCCAAGTATAGCAGGAAATCTTAAAATTAAACCAGAGGCGCTTGAGCTAAGAGCATTTTTTCTGTTTTTACGTTATTCCTAAACGGAAATTCCCTATCTGTTTTCGATACACATTCTTATATCACTTATATAAAGAAACAATTTCATGTTATACTGCAACTATTATGTGTATGAAAAATAAAAATAAACACTTCATAATAGATTATAACAACATTATTAAATAAATGCAAATATACATAATACGACATATATGTAGTGAACGAGATAATCAGGTACCCCGGAAAAAAGTTCGTGTTTTGTGTGCGATCTGTGGAAGAAGGAAAATTCGGGCATTTTTGGCTACGGCGTTTGTTGGAGAGTGAGTTATTTTCCTGAACAAATTTGCTTTGAGAACGCTTACAGTTCATCATGAAAGCCATCGTGGATGCTGTGCTATCCCAGGATGAGACAATTCGTCAAGCGACGTCAGCCTACATTAACGAAACCTTAGTACCCACTTCACAGGTGAGAAAGCAACTTGCTGACTTTGGGCTCGAATGTAAGAACCCAGAACGACTGGAGGATGGTGCTCGGATGCTCGGCTTGCAGGTCTGGGGGGAGCACAACATGCTTTACTGGAAACGTGGAAGCGAGCTCCCGGACATTACCAAGACACATAAAGGACTTGCGTCGCTATGTAGGTACACATACGTCAACAAGTGACACTAGCAGTGAGTGCTCAGAAAGTGAACAAATAATTACCATCGGAGATAGGGCTAGCACCTCTTCAGATGGTGAAGACACTCCTCCAACAGTCGCCCCGCTCCGGAGAAGCTTAAGAATAAAGAGGCCCGCCCATGAGTGTCACTTATGTGACAGGGGGGAGTGTAGTGAACGAGATAATCAGGTACCCCGGAAAAAAGTTCGTGTTTTGTGTGCGATCTGTCGAAGAAGGAAAATTCGGGCATTTTTGGCTACGGCGTTTATTGGAGAGTGAGTTATTTTCCTGAACAAATTTGCTTTGAGAACGCTTACAGTTCAATATATTTATACAATTCAGTACTTGGAACTTTTTTTTTTATATATAACTGCTTTGAATATACGCTCCACAACGGTGGAAATTTTTTTTAAGCTGCTTACGGGTAATTTTTTACTTTTTCTTTTTTTTTTTGGTGGACACCCCCTCATCGGATACTTAGAAGGTAATTATGATTTCCGTTTTTACCCACTTCCCCTCACGTTTCATTTCACCAGCAATAATTACTATATACAGAGATAAACTAGTATTTGAAAGGTGAAGTGGCGATATGTATCACATCATTTGATGGTAAATAAATCGTGCCAAAAAGTTTTTACTTGAATCAATCGCATCATCATCTACCGCAATGAAAGCTAGCTCTTTGTGTTTTGCCAGAAAGTTTCTTTCGTCTGAGTTAATCTTGCAAATCTATAAATAAACCATCCGTCCTTGAATGGAATATTGCTGTCATATACGGTCTGGTGCTCCCGTTGTACGTCTCGAGGTCCTTGACGAAATCCAGAGAGGAATATGCAAAATGATAGGTCCTGATCTGGTATCTAGTCTACATTCGCTATCCTACAGACGTGCTGGGGTTTCTCTTTGTCCCTTTTACAGGTATTTTCACCGCGAACTGTTCCGAAGCGCTACTGTCGCTAGTTCCCAGAATGCATGAATTTAAACTTGCTACCAGGCTGGCATCTCGGTCTCACCATTTCACTGTCAAAACAATTAAATATAACCGTCTCTTCTCGAACAGCTACTTCTCCCCGTCTGTGTAACTCCCTTCACCTTACTTGCTTCCCCGATGACGATAATCTTCAAATATTCTCGTGTAATCTCAATCGACATCTGACATCCTGTGCTTCCCTGTCCTCCTCTGTGTCCTTTCCTCAAACGAGACTCTTTGCTTTTGTTTTCAATCCTCTGTAACCCCTTGCGTGCTATTGGCACTGCCTCTTTGTTTGAAGTGAATTGCCTTAAAAAAATAGATGCAAGCTGATTTGCTGCCATTATTTATTTTGAAATAAACGCAAAGCAGAAACAAACATGTATAATAAAAAATATACTTATTAACTTGAAAAAGACTTAATCTGTTTTAAGCTATTACTCCAAAATTTCAGTCAATGTATTAACTATGAAGCTCTGTGGAACAATAAACCTTCTTTTCTTGTCTTTAATATTAATTTGAAAGTACATTTAAATCAGAATATATTTTTATTAAGGTGTTTTGGCGATTTTCATTCGTTTTCGAGCAGGACAAATTGTATTTATTATTAACTAATAATAAAAATATATTTATTATTTTGAAAAATACGACACCTGCTTTAAACTATTACGCCAAATTTTCAAGCAATGTGTTAACTACGAAGCTCTGTGGAACAATAAACCTTCATTTCCCGTCTTTTAATACAAATTAAAATGTACAACTAATAATAAAACTGATAATATTGTTACCTCAATGAAATGTTTTTTAAAAGGAGTTTATGGATGTTCTAGATTTTGCTAAATTTATGAGAATTATCAAATTTGAAAATTACTTTTGTTTTCTTATCTTATTTACCAATGCTACTTTAAGATTTACTTTATTCTGTCATTTTATCATTTTTCTAATTTATCTGAACAATCTAACCTATAAGCAATAATAATAATAGTAATAATGATAATTATAATAATAATAATTATTATCATTATTATTATTATTATTATTGCTATCATTATTACTATAATTATAATTATAATAATAATTATTATTGCTATTATTAATACTATTATTACTATTATTATTATAATTATTATTGCCATTATTATAATAATAATTATAAATATTATTATAATTATCATTAATACTATTATTATTATTATTGCTATTATTATTATGATAATTATTGATGCTATAATTATTATTTTAATACTTATTATTAGTATTATTATCATGAATATTATTATAATTATTATTATTGCTATTTTTATTATAATAATTATTATAATTATTATTATAATCATCATTAATCTCATTATCGCTATTATTATTTTTATAATAATTATTATGGCTATTATTACAACTATTATTATAATTATTATTATTACTATTATTTTTTATTGCTATAATTATTATTGCTGTTATTATTATTGTTGTTATAATTATTATTGCGATTATTATCATTACTATTACTATAATAATTATTATTATTGCTATTATTATAATAATTATTATATTTATTACTATTATTATTATTACTATTGTTATTATTATTATTATTATTATTATTATTATTAATATTATTAATCTATCTGCTGTGTTCCTTTACATCAACTTCTTAACCTTTGTACCTCTAAGTAAAGCTTGTTTTATTTTTCGTTTTTCTATCTCTCATATTAACCGGTTATGACAAATATTTGCACAACTTAGTTCTTCTATGTGCCGTGTCCCTTCAGGACTTTGGCAATTGTGGCACTCCACAATTTCTATCCTTTGTAGCTCTTAGTAAATGTTGTCTTTTTGTATCTCTTCTAATCGCTGCCCTGCTAACCATCTGCAAACATTCATTAGCCAGTTTATTCGCTTCTTCCTATTCCTCTTGACTTCCAATATCTCATGTTACTATCAAATTCTCCAGACCCTCTTTCTTCATTTTAGCTGGCTCCTTCCGATGCCTTTTTTGCTTCCATTTTCCCTAAAACTTAGTCGTTCCTCACATATTCGGTCCAAGGCATTCTCATAATCCTTCTGCAGAACACCATTTCTGAAGCCTCAAGTTTCTTCTTCCTCTCAGAAGAGATTTTTCAGCATTCACTTTTATATAGAAAGATAGATATATATATATAACCGTTCAGGGGTAAAATAATAACTGTAGATGTTTTATGTTTCCTACCATTCAAATCCTGTTCATTATCCGGAAAATCTTTTTCAAAGAATTCTCTAATGAAGGGCTTTGCAACGAAGACTATGCTAAAGCCTAAGGCGACGTAATTGAAGATCAGGAATTTACAAGAATTTCTATCAAATTCTTTGATTAACCTATACAAATAATATCCATAAATTGCTGCTCAATCTCTGATATTTTTTTAGAAGATTTCAGATAATTTACCTTTGTGAAAATTGTTTTTCGTTATATTCAATCTGCTAAAACATCAGATAGAAATAAGTTAAATGCTGAGGATATGAGACTACAAGTTACATCGATCATGCTCGACATTTTCTTTAAAAAATCAACTAAAAAAACCCCAAAAGCAGCTGCATTCGAGGCCGTAAATTTTACTTATTCTAATATATATAATATATATATATATATATATATATATATATATATATTAAAGATAAATTTATTTTTTCTCATGTGTATTTTTAAAAAAGAATTTGTTAGAGTACATGAGAATAAGGTGTATCCTGCTGAATATATCGAAGAAATTAGAAGTCTCAACACGCCTTCTGTAAATAATATAAACGAAAATGTAGTACCCTTTTCTCATTTATTTTTAAACATGTATTTCAGCTGTAGATTCAAAGAAATATTGTTACCGTCTGTATTCTCATATAACCTTTATACAAAGTTCGTTGCGGCCGTGTTCTCCTAGACTGCCGAGGATTCTATTGAGTCAAATGCTTTTTCGCATTAGCCTAAATCCAAAGAAAATAGTTGATTTTATTCTTCGTCTTCTGATTATTATTATTATTATTATTATTAATATATTTCCTTTATTTTCTGATGTGTACTCATTTCTTTCCGGATCCCACCCAGGGAACTAAGTTTGAAATGGCAGGGTTAGAAAAAGACAACACCTGCTTTAAACTATTACGCCATATTTTCAAGCAATGTGTTAACTACGAAGCTCTGTGGAACAATAAACCTTCTTTTCCCGTCTTTCAATACAATTTAAAATCCGTTACTTCTGAGCTAGTTATATCCAAATCATGACCGAAAAGTATACATAAAATAAATTTCCATAACTTAATGACTATTATTCCAATATATATATATATATATATATATATATATATATATATATATATATATATATATATATATATATATATATATTTCTGATGTGTACTCATTTCTTTCCGGATCCCACCCAGGGAACTAAGTTTGAAATGGCATAACGACATTTTCCACTGCAGAAAAAAAACAAAAAAAAACATATTTTACATAGACAAAGCCCTTCGGAAAGTGTGGGCTGTACTCGTGAGAACAATTTTTGTATTTCTTTAAGACATGGGCTTCCAGGAATCCCTAATCCCTTCAATTAGTCTAGTGGAATCTTTTCCAACAATCCTAGGGCTCCACCTACAACGGGGATTGCTGATATTACCATGTGCCACATTTTTTAGATTATTATTATTATTATTATTATTATTATTATTATTATTATTATTTAACTGTGTGCGTTCCAAGCAAGGAAGTAAAGCCGCTAAAATACAGGAGGGCTGACTTGATAGGAAACTGTTAGGTAACAGAAAAATTACTAAAGTTCGAGAACAAACGAAGAGTAATGAGTTGGGCAGTAGATAACGATTATGATTGCATTTAATTTTTTTAAGATTAAAGTTGACTCGAAAGCATGGAGTCGGAAGGGTTATCCACAAGCGAGAAGAAAGAAAACTGTTATCATAGAACTTAGGGCTATATCCAGCCAAATTCATAAAGTCTAGGTACCATAGTGAAGAGCTTATCTGAATAATTACCGTGAATGCATTTATTGAAACGGCACTGGTTGATGGTGGGAAAAGACTTAAAGGCGAGAA